ACTTCCGACAGGTGTTACTTTCGCTATGCCATGCCAAGCGAGATGCCAACGTACTGGATAGACGTGGAACTTGCTAACAACCGGGCCAGCGCGTTTAAACTGAGACACGTCACGCCAGGCCCACAGAGCCTTCCGCTGTTTACGCGCCCCGAGCTTTCCGACCCGAAGCGGGTGACTATGCGCTTGCAACGCACTCCAATGTTCGCTTGTCAAGCGGACGAGCCGCCGCCCCATTCAGATGGTTGGTGAGTTTAACGCTACAAATGAAAATGTACGCATTGGGATCACGACAGCAGCGCGGTAGGGCCTCACACTTTTAACGCTACCTCGGCAGACCCATCTAACATGCCGCCAGAGGAATGGCAGAATTATCGACTTCAGAATTCTGTGTCACCTGCGACTGGTTCAAACATGCTTTCGCAAACCCGATTGGAAAACATTGCCACGTACAGGGCACTATGAACGCAGCGGGGCTCGCCGTTTCAACGCCACGGTTACGAGGAAGTGGACCCCATTATCACCCCGCGCTGGTGGCCACACTCACGCACGAATGCTTAAGCAAACACGCGCGAACATGAATTCCAACCACTCTCCAGCGTGTGCCACAGTCAGGACATGGCTCAAAGCAATGCGCCAATCCAGACGAGCGCGAGTGAAATATGCAGAGTGTTCTGACTCAGGCAACGACGCCACCAATCGGGAGGTCGCTTTACAGTGGCCCGAGGGGCCTGGTCACTTTCGCCGCCGACTGTGCAAATCGAACACAAAAGAAAATGTCGCGAACGCCGGCGCGAATGAAAAACATAGCTTTATCCGACCACACTACACCGTTCTTCGCCTTGAGGGGGGCTGCGGCGCGCTCACAGGATGCCCTGGAGTTTGATAGTTGGAGAACGAGTTTCGCAAAAGCAGAAGAAAGGACGAACGTAATGCAGCATTCCCTGCACTTTCGAGAGATCTAGACATCCGCGACATATTGATTGGGACCCGCAACCTCCTAAACTCGGAGCGCCGCCTTTGGGCAGCATGCAAAGGCAACCGCCGAGCACTTGGCTCAGCAGCAGTGGGGCTCAATCCGCCCCCCCCCCCCGCCCTTCCCCCTCCCCCTCCACCTCCTTTCTTCGTCCCTCTTCCTTGTTCCCCCCCCTTCCCGCCCCCGGTTCCCCCCCCCCTGCCGCGTCGCATTGATGTCGCTCATGCCCACCGATTGAGATTCAACGAGGGAGACCACGAGCTAGCAGAAGTCAGAGTGGTCTTCAGTCCCCAGGAAGTTGAACGAATGTCCACGGAAGGTTTCAAGGACATGAAGGTTGATCATCGATCAGCGCTGCTACAAATTCTGAGAACAGATCGGCGACAAGAGCACGCCCTTCCCGAAATGCCCCGAGCTCGAGCCGTGCTGATACACAAATTGGCAGGCAAGATCAAGTGGGAGAACTACCGGCGCATTTCGCTGCGCAGCAGCACCTACAAAGTGCATGTGGACATTGCGCACGAGAGAGTGGCCGCTGCTTGTGACGCAGACCTTCGACCCACGCAGCACGGTTTGGATGGTGCACGGGCGCGGTTCAGGCAACGCACTGCGTGCGCAGGACGGCGTAACACACGGCGGTCGGACATACAAGAGCCATGATGGTGTTGCTTGATTGGGTAGAGTCAGTCGAAAAGAGCCACCGGACCCTGCCTCATCAACGCGTTCCAGCGGACCGATGTATCCACAAAGCTAGTCTCCGTCATCGCGTCCCTATGCTCGCACACAAAATTCCAAGTGGAGCGGGGAGGATCATCCTTGGCATGGACCGACAGATGGGAATCAGACGAACGCATCATGTCACCACCATCATCATCATAATCATCGTCAGCATCTTCATCAGCATCACCATTATCATTTATGTGTCTACATATATATATATACATATATATACATATATATATATATATATATATATATATTTATATGAACGAGCGTGTTCTACCGCTGCTGGCGGAAAACCGTGGGGGGTCACTACGGGTTCGAACCCCTCCCCCCCCCTCTGGAAAACCGGCGGGGGTCACTACCGGTTCGAGCCCCTCCCCCCCCCCAGCTCATCATGAAAAGGGGGGGGGGTCACTACCGGTTCGAGCCCCCCCCCTCCTCGAGCTCGAAAACCGGGGGGGGTCACTACCGGTTCGAACCCCCCCCCCCTTCGAAAACCGAGGAGGGGTGCGGACAGTGGTGGGGGGGCGGGTGGTGGTGGGGACAGTGGTGAGGGGACAGCGGGACAGTGGTGGGGACAGTGGGACAGTGGTGGGGACGGTAGTGGTGGGGACAATGGTGAGGACAATGGTGGGGACAGTGGGGACAGTGGGACAGTGGTGGGGACGGTGGTGGTGGGGACAGTGGTGTGGGGACAGTGGGAATGTGGTGGAAACAGTAGGACAGTGGAGGGTACAGTGGTGGTGGGGACAGTGGTGAAGGCGGTGGCGAGGACGGCGGTGGGACAATGGGACAGAGGTACAGTGGGGACAGTGGTAGGGACAGGGGGGACAGTGGTTGGAACAGTGGGACAGCTCAGTGGTTCGAACCGGTAGTGACCCCCCCCCTCCGGTTTTCGAAGGGGGGGGGGGTTCGAACCGGTAGTGACCCCCCCCGGTTTTCGAGTTCGAGGGGGGGGTGGTAGGGGAGGGGGGGGGGGGTTGCCGGGGGAAGGGGGGGGGGGGGAAGGGGTTCCAGCAGGGGGAGGGGATTTTCGGAGGGGGGGGGGGGGCCGGGTTCCAGAGGAAAATGGCGGCAATTTTCCACAGTAAAGCGGCGGTGGATCACGCTCGTTTTTTTTTTGTCTCTCTCTCTCTCTCATTTATATACATATATATACATATACATATACATGTACATATACATATACATATACATATACATATACATATACATACACATATACACATATATATATATATATATATATATATATATATACACACGCGCCCCTCGTCGTAATGACGCTCATGTTCTCCGGCATACGCGTTGAACTGGTCGAGGGACCGGCCACGAACAGAAAAGGCGGGGTGGACATTGACGAGGTTCTCTATGCCGACGACACCATCTGCGCGAACACGGATACCCGCGCTACGAGCGCGTTTCTTGCAACGAATTAGACCGAGATCCAACAGTACGGTCTCAAAGTGAGCAAAGGCTAGTGCGAGCCCGTGGCGACGAAAACAAATCCATTCGTGCATTTTTGCGACGGCACCCCAGCGTGAATCCATCTGCATGTCGTTGCTCACGAAAGTACTTGAATTCAGGCTCGACAGTGGCTGCCCGATACGATTCAACTCCATGTGTCGGATTCATGTGATGCCCGTATTTTGGAACTAATTAGTTGCACATAACGAAGTAAGCTGGGCAGGGGAACGATACATGTTTCCCTGAAGGCGACCACAACCAAACGCCTATGTGGTTACAGGACGTAATTGATGCCGACGGCTCCTCCGACAACTCACTTTGGAAATCATGTCCGCTCGCACGAGAGACTTCGGCAAGAAACGGGTCGGCCGCCCTGGGTTCAGATGGACGATGGATGCCTTGAGAGAGCACTGGTCCCATATTCAACCTATCCGCAGCAGTTGCATGAAGGCATGGAACGGCGGCGTCGATGTCGGAAACCCGTCGCACACCACCGCGATCGTCACTGCAACCAGGTTCTGCTCCTCCACCTTGTCCTTCTACTCTTCCCCTTCCCGCTTATCCTTTTTCATGCCTTCCACGGAACGGCCCCAAAGTGTCCATGCGGGGCAAGACAGTGCCGGCGCGGCGCCCAAGCGCGCAGACCAGTCTGTGCGCTTGGCAGGAACGAACATTTGTATACACATAGTCGTGCATGTATGTGTGTCTGTCTGTCTGTCTGTCTGTCTGTCTGTCTGGGTTTGTCTGTCCTTTTGCCTGTCTGTCTGTCTGTCTGTATGACTGTATGGATGTTCGTACGTATGCTTGCATGGATGAATAAAAATCATGTTTGCATGTATATATTTATGTGTGTATGTTTGTATGTGCTCATGTAGTTATGTACGTATTCACGTAAGTATATACGCACGTGTGCTTGTATGTATGTATGTATGTTTGTTTGTAGGTAAGTCTGTATGTGCGTATGTCTGTATGTGTATGTGTATGTATGTATGTATGCATGTATGCATGTATGCAGGTATGCATGCATGCATGCATGTATGGATGGATGGATGGATGGATGGATGGATGTCTGTATGTCTGTATGTCTGTATGTCTGTATGTCTGTATGTAAGTATGCATGCATGCATGCATGCACGTATGTGTGTATGTGTAGTTGTATGTATGTACGTATGTAGGTATGTGTGTTGTACGTGTGTATATATGTAGATGCGTGTGTATGTATGTATGTATGTATGCAGTCATGTACGTATGTGTATGTATATGTATGTATGCATGCATGTTTGAATGCATCTATGTTTGTATGTGCATATGTGTATGTGTACGTACGTATGTATGTTTGTATGTATGTATGTACGTATGTATGTATGTGTGTATGTATGCATGCATGCATGCATGCATGCATGCATGCATGCATGCATGCATGTATGTATGTATGTATGTATGTATGTATGTATGTATGTATGTACGTATGTACGTATGGATGGATGGATGGATGGATGGATGGATGGATGGATGGATAGATGGATGTATTTGGAACATCCGTGATCTATGCATCTTCAGGGGCGTTTTGGGGCCCCCCTGGCCCTGAAGACGCTGGGGCGGAAGCGGCCACACCCCTGGCAGCACCTGACAGGGCCTGACGTCCCCAGGCGTGCGATGTCCTGTTCTTGTCAATGCGGGCCCCCAGAAGCCCTGGCACTTTCCCCGGGGCCCGCGAGTCTCTTCTCGGCGGGCCCAGGTCCCGGCGAGGGACCCTGGAGGCCAAAAACGGCACAAAACCTCCCATCGTGATTTCTTCATGGCGCGGCCACGTTTGGGGCAGCACCCGATGCATCAGGGCCGCCGTGCCGGCGCCGGGTTGCCTCGGCCCCGCCTGCTTCGCGGGCTGGTTCCGCGCCGCGGGCCTGCTGAACGCCGGGTGCCTGGTGTGGTCGGCGCGCCGCTGCGCGGCAGCCTCGCGGCCCAGGGCGCCGTCGCCGTAGGCCACCGCGAGCTGACCGCCAATCTGTGGAGGCAGCAGACGTGGACGGCCGGCCCAATGTTCGATGCGGTCGCTGGGTCACCCACAGCGGCGCTAATGGGCAGCCAAGGCGCTGACGTGACGACCGCTTTGGGTTCGGAAGGGGTTCGCTGTTCCTTTTGTTATTCCGTGGTTATTCCTCCAGTCTTCCTCGTGTACCCAGGTTCTTTAGGTGCCTAGAAGGGGCTCATGTCCTCACCTGGCGTTCCTTATTGCAGCAGCTTGACCGTAATCGCGCGTCGCGCGTCGCGCATCGCGGCTTGGGTTGGAGAGGTGCCCTTCCCTGGGGCGGTGGCGCGAAGGCGTGAAGATAACCGAGCGTCGAGCATCGCGGGGTGCGATGCGCGAAGTTAGGTGACCCAAGGTCGAAATGGATACGGAAATAATGGGGACGAAGGTTGACAGCAGTTTTTCTTCCGTTCAAGCAGTGCTGGCTGTTGGTGCCACTGCGGGTGTTGTCTGTTTGAGACAGAAGGCCGCCTGCCCAACAGTGGCCGCTGTAGGTTTTGGACAAAGTTGGCTGTTTGGCATTGTACCCATTAGTTCCGTACAGTGGAAACCCATGCCAAGAAACACCTTGTTTGCTTCCAGGGTGCCCTGGGCTTCTTGGGTTTCGATGGTTTTGCTGTGGACAGCGTGACGTTCCCACACCAAAAACCAGTAGACGTCCTGGGATCTCAGGGTGGAGTTTCTTGTGGAAGGTTTCGTATGGTCGAGCTCCTCCTGTACCCTTTCCGGGCGTCCGAACCAGTGACCAGACCCCCATCACGTCGTGAAAAAGATCACGGTTGGAGGTCGTTCGCCAATGTCAGCTTCTGGGGGCCGCAGGGGGCGCCTGCCATTTGGAGGCCCATCGGTCCTGCTGAGTGTTGAGCTGGTCTCACGCTCGGGAGGCGTCCAGCATTCAGAGGGTGTTAACTGCATGCGAGGTGCCTTTCACAGCGTTTTGTTCGGAAGAGCATGTTTCTTTATTGCTTGGGGCATACTGGGCATTATAGTCCCCGACCACCCCTTCTCCGCCCCCCACATAACGTAACGCCCCCCCACCCCCAGTGCGCTCCGGGCACTGCCGCCGTGCGCATCGGGCACACGGCGGGGGGGAAGCGTTACATTATACCCCCCCCTGTTCCCTTCCCCCCGCCCCCCCTGTAATGCCCATTGTCACCGAACATAAAGAAACGCGCTCGAAGAAAGCGCCCTGTTCTAAGGTGCCACTTGAGAGGCCATGCCTCGCTGGGCCCGTTGAGGCCGTCAAGACACGACTCCAGAAGGAAACAAAAAGGCCTGTCCCGGTCAACGGGCCCTCCTCCTCCTCCTCCTCCTCCTCCTCCTCCTCCTCCTTCGGGGGCGGAAAAGAGGGGGGTGATGACTAGGGGGGGGTGGATATCATGGCGGGGGCCATGATATTTCCCCAGATCTCATGGCGCCTCTTCTTATTCCATTACGTCCCTGGCCCCCCCGCTGGGCCGCGCACATGCCGCCGGTCATGATTTGCACCCCCCCCTCTTGGACACCCCCCTCTTTGCCGTTCCCGACTCCTCCCCCTCCTCCCCCTGGGGGATTGTTCTGCCTTTGGGCCTGCCAACGTCCTCTTGGGGGAGCCACGGCGCTGCGAGCAAGAAGCACGACGTCGGACCTCTGGGGATGGCCCAGGGGCGGGCACGGCTCGAACAGGGGATCCGCTGCGGAATTGATTTGCCGTGGCGTCGGTGTTCCCGCCGAAGACGCAAGAAACTCGTAGAACGTTCGTAGATCCGCGGGGCGTTCTGCGCATTTGCTCGTAGCTTCGGCGGGGGAATCACTGTTCCTCTTTCTCCTCCTCCTCCTCCTCCTCCTCCTCCTCCTCCGCCGGCTCTTCGTGGCCGAGGCTGGCCGTCGCCAGAGCAGCCTGTTCGCTCCTTCTCTGGCGCCTTCCTCGTAGGCAGCACGGTGGCCGCATTCGCCCGGGAGCCCCCTCGAAGGCATGGGGGCGATCGGAGCCCCCCGATACGTGCAGTGGCCCACTCGTCGAGTCGGGGATCGACTGCAGACTTGATGTGCGAACTGGTTCTTGCCTGTCGAACCTGCGAAGATGCGCAGAATGGGTGTTCGAAGCGACGACAATGCCACACACCACGCTTCGTAGATTTGACCGAAGATCATTCTGGGGTGAGTCGCTGTGATGGTCGATTCCAGACGCGACTTCTGGGCCCGAGGCGGCCCCTGTGCTCCACCCTGGGCGCGGAGCCTGGGCGGAGGGGAGACGGCGCCCCAATAGGCTCCCAAGCGGGCCCGAAGAGGAGGAGGAGGAGGAGGAGGAGGAGGAGGAGGAGGAGGAGGAGGAGGAGGAGGGGGGGGGAGGGGGAGGAGGAGGAGGAGGGGGAGGAGGAGGAGGAGGAGGAGGAGGAGGAGGAGGAGGAGGTGATGGCCCCCCGACTGCTGCCGACACCCGCAGCCGCCTCGCGCGCGCGGTTTTCTGGGCGCGCGGCGCGCTCGCGGCAGCCCTCCCGCTCGCTGCGCGCGGGGGCCCGCGGCCTGCCAAGGAAGGGCCGGCGGTGCGCACCCCGCGGAGGCGAGGGAGGAACAGCGAGTCTTTTTGTTCCCAGCCCTCAGTTGGTTGGGGTCTCGTCTTGGCCAGAGCAGCGGGGTGCCAACTCCCTTCTCCTCCTCCTCCTCCTCCCGCCCTCTGTCCTCCTCCCGCCCTCTGTCCCCTCCTCCCGCTCCTCCCTTCTCCTCCTCCTCCTCCTCCTCCTCCTCCTCCTCCGCCTGCCTGCACCTGCCTGCTTGCATCCCTCCTGGGAGCCGCGAGGTGTGAAACTGTCGCCGCTGTCGAGGTCCGCTGGGGGTGCCGGCACAGCGGTGTCCACGCAGATCCAAGCGGGACCCCGCCATCCCTTGGGGAGGCCGCGGAGTGTGAAATTGTCGCCACTTTCGAGGGCTGCTGGGTCGGACAGCATAGTGGGTGCTGACAGCAGATTGAAACTAAACCTCGACACCCCTGGGGGCTGCGATCTGCGAACCTGTCGCTACTTTCGAGGGCTGCTGGGGGGGCGGGGCAGCGTAGTGGGTGCCGACGGCAGATTCAAATCAGACCTCGGCATCCTAGGAGTCTGCAAAGTGTGCAACTGTCTCCACCTTCGAGGGCTGACACGATTTTGTGTGCCGACGGCAGGTTCAAATAGGCCTCGCCACCCCAGGGGGGCTGCGATCTGCGAAAGGGTCGCCACTCTCGAGGACAACGTGTGGGGCAAGCGTAGTGGGTGCCGACGGCAGATTCACATTAGACCTCGACATCCATTGGGGGCTGCAAAATGTGAAACCGTCGCCACTTTGGAGGGCTGGTGTTGGGGCCAGCATTGTGGGTGCCGACGGTTGATTCTATTTAGACCTCGACATCTCTGGGGTGGATTTGCGAAACTGCCGCCACTTTCGAGGGCTGGGGGGGGGGCACAATTGTGGGTGCCGACGGCAGGTTCAAATAGGCCTCGCCACCCCCAGGGGGGCTGCGATCTGCGAAAGCGCCGCCACTCTCGAGGGCAACGGGGGGGGGGCAAGCGCAGTGGGTGCCGACGGCAGATTCACATTCGACCTCGACATTTCTGGGGGTGGGCAGCGAAGTGCGAGGCGGCTGCCACCTTCGAGGGCTGCGGGGGGGGAGGGGGGGCATCATCATGGTGGGTGCCGACGGCCGATTCGAATAGACCTCGGCGCTCTTTCGGAGGGGGGCAGTCTGCGAAACTGTCGTTGCGTTTGAGGGTTGCTGGGGGGGGCAGCAAAATGAGTGCCGACGGCAGATTCAAATTAGCCCTCGACGTTCCTGGGGGGGGGAGGGTGCTGCGATCGGCGAAAGCGTCGCTACTTTGGAGGGCTGCTGGGGGGGACAACATGGTGGGTGCCGACGGCAGATTCACACTAAACCTCGACACCCCTGGGGGCTGCAATCTGCGAACCTGTCGCCAGTTTTGAGGGCTCCTGGGGGCCAGCATGGTGGGTGCCGGCGGTGGATTCAATTTTGATCTCGACATCTTGGGGAGAGGCTGCGAAGTGTAAGTGTAAAGCTGTCGCTGTTTTCGGGGGCTGCTGGGAGGGCATCATCGTGGGTGCCGACGGCAGATTCAAATTAGACTTAGACGCCCCTACGCCCCTGGGTGGGGGCGATTAGTTTCGGATGTTACACATCCTCCTTCCACCTCCTTGTCTGTCTTCCTCATCATCCTCCTCAGCTCCTCAGCTGGAAATCGACTCCTCCCTATTACGGTTTGGTTAACTCGCGGGGCGCGCGGGGTGCAGCGATCCACGCGATCCTGTCGCAGTTTCGTGGCTCCCTCGCTCCCGAGGAGCGTTCCCCGCCGCTTCGGGGAAGCGCTCTGGGGCGTCGATGCAGTGTTGGGCACCCAGGCGCTGTCCGATCTGAGGTATTCCCCTCGCCACCGCTGCGTTGTTGCTCAAGGCTGAGGTTGCCCATGGGGCCCTCTGAACAAACCACTTTGGCGTTCTTGTGGAGCATTCTCAAGTTTCTGCTGTTCCTTCTGGTGCAGAACTGCGGTTGCCCATCGACCCTTCTGAAACAGATCCAGCTGTGCCTTTTTTCGTGCTGCGTGTTGCACCGCCAGGGCTTCCAGTGGTCAGATTGAAGCGCCTGGCTTTGGCCCCTGCGAATCCCCTTATTATTCAGAATCATGAAGGATCCTTGCGTTTTCTGACTCCTGAGATTAGGATCGCGACTGTAAGGAAGTATCTCCTCCTCCTCCTCCTCCTCCTCCTCCTCCTCCTCCTAGAGCAGTGGGCTCTCCGCCTCCTCCCCCATCCCCCGCCCCCCACCCCCCCGCTCTCCTCTCGGCTCTCTCCTCTCGCATCTCTCCCTTGGGGGGCTGCGGAATACGAAACCGTCGCCGCTGTTTGGGGGCTGCTGGGGTGGGCCCGCCCAGTGGGGCCCCAGGCAGATCCACACGGGACCTCGCCATCCCTGCGGGATTTCGGTGAGCGAATTTGTCGCCACGTTCGAGGGCTGCTGAGGCGGGCCCGCACAGTGGTGCCGCACGCAGACCCAAACGGGACCTGGCCATCCCTGGGGGGCTTCGAAGTGTCGAATTGTCGTCACTTTTTCGAGGGCTGCTGGGGAAACCCGCACACTGGGGCCACGCGCGAACCCAAACGGGACCTCG